AGTCAAGAGCTGAAAGGAAGGAGGCCCCGATAGGGAGAATTAAGAAATATGTAGCTTGGACTCTATAGGGGGTGAGAAAGCATATGAGATCAAACACTATATCAGGCTTTCCCAAGGGAAGGCAGGCAGGCTGTCAATTCAATAATAAAAAAACCTCTTGACTGAAACCTTGGAGCAGTTCTGGTTGCTTGTGCCTAACATCCATGGTCCTAACTTTGGCACAAGGTGTGCCTAACTATTGAGGAATTACTCAGTAGATAAGATACCTTTTAAAAATGGAGACAGAACGTAATAAATGTTTTAAACCTTACCTATCAAATAGCATAGATATATATTTCTTTAACAACTATACCCCTGTAAACCTGGCAATACAATGATTTGCATGTTTTTTCAGAAGAAATTCCTATTATTATAATTATTATAATTTATAATGTTAATATTTATAATTTATTATATATTTTTATAACTTAACAATAATTAAAAATAATTTCCAGGCAAGCATGGCCTAAATTAACATTGAAGTTCAAATTACCTTATCCACATTGTCAGCATATGCAGAAAGTCCTGGTTTTAATGCTTTGAATGTGGTATCAATTAATCTAGGAAGTTCTGTTTTTAAAAAAAGAAAAATTAACTCAATGTAGTAAAGTGATTCTATACATAATTTTGCAGTCTGCAAATCAAAGGCACCAAAAATTAAGTTAATTAAACAAGAAATTAACGTGAAAGCCTTCTTCATAAGAGGGGCGAACTGCAGAAAAGAAAACTCGGAAGTATCCCCTTTCTTTCCTTCTGTCTTATGGGAATAGCTCTTCATTGTATGATGACACTATTTATGTGATTCCTAAAAAAAACTTATACATGTTTCTTATGTGCTGTCTTCAACAATTTGTAACCTGAAAGATTACAATATTTATATTAATATGGAAATTATAATTAGACCATGTATTTTGCATTGTTGCTGTATCTTCAAAATAGATCTCAAAAAACCCACCACCCTTCAATATATAAATATGCCACAGCTTTTATAAACAATATTAAAATATTTAAGCCACCAAGAGGCAGCAAATTCCGACATGAGGAAACAATAAAAGAAAATGGTATGAGGACAGAACAGGTAGTCCTCATTTAGTAAACACAATTGGAACAAAAACGTCATTGTTAATCATTGCAGTCACTAAGCAAAACGTTACATAAGTATGACAGGCTTTTGATCTCACTTCCCCTTTGGTCATTAAGTGAATCACTAATTATTAAGCAAAATATCACATAATCATGACTTATGGTTTTACTTCCACCTTCTCTATTAAGTGTGCAGGAAGCCTGAAGGGAACCGACCAGAGTGATTTATGACCTTCCCTGTTGTCTTCCCCATTGCCTTGTGGGAAGCAGGCAGAGAAGGTTGCAAATGGCAATCACATGACTACAGGACACTGGAATTGTCATTTGTGCAAGCTGGCTGCCAGTTTCACAAATCATGATCATATGACATGGGGACACGGTGATGGCCCAAATTTTGAAGACAGGTTGTAAGTACCACTCATTCAGTACTGCTGCAATTCTCCAGTTACTGTACAAGTGGTTGGTAAGTGAGCACTGCCTATATTAGCAAAATTATGAACTGAAGTGGTTACCTTTTGGTTTCTGCGCAAATTGGAATACATGTATACGGGTGCCAGTGCTTCCAGCATCAAACATAATTCCATAAAGAACTGCCTCATCTTTTCTTGAGATCTCAGCACCAAGCTGCTTTTCCAAACCCTTGTCAACACCTTTTCCTTTGTAGTCAAAATTCCACTTGGTATACACAGCATATATAGCAGCACATGTGAAAATTGAAAATACGCAGAATAGTTTTGGGAACTTCATGATCTCCATTAGACTTTTTCTTTCACTTTTTTGAGCAGGTGCCTATGATTTCCTGTAATATGAAAAAATAAAATTGTCTCATAAAAGGAACTATGAAATTTTATTTCAGAAAAACTGAGTCCTCATGCAAAATATACTAGAAAGGCTGCTTAGACGCAGTACAACATTAACATGCCATATCAATGATGTGGCAATGCGTTTTAGTTTGTAATTTCTGCCTTGAATACTTTTATATGATGATATTCCTAAAAATACACAATGTAATAAAAATCTGTAAGAACTATTTTTAAAAACTTGTCACTCCAGAAAAAGTATAGAAAATACTGCTGGAAATCTTAAGAGGGTGGATAAAAGCAGGATTTTTTTAAAAAATTAATTGATTTTTTTTTTAAATTTAAATTTGATTTTTTTTTACTTTTATCAAATTTATTTTAATAAAATGCTTTTGGAGTAAACATCTATCTAAAGATAGTTTTCTATTTAAGATACATTAATAATTTAGTTTATTCAGCATGAAATGGAGCTTAGTTATGTAACACAAGGCTGTATGTTCTGTAATATGTACATTTTTGGGAAACTCATTCAATGAATCCAAGCTCTGCGAGCTAAATAGAAAACCTTCATTTTGTTTACGAATAATAATATTAAAGATGCTAACTATCATCAAGAATGAGTCCTTACATTTAAAAAGCACCTGTCATTTCAGATCCATCATGAGGGTGCCTGTTAGTGGGCATCCACTCACCTGCTGCCCACCATGTTCCTCATCTTGTTGTGTCACTGCTGCATCACCAACCGTCCCATTAAACTGAATGGGGCTGTTGGTGAGTCAACAGCTGGTCAGAGGAGGAGCCGCTGTGGGACAGAGATGACAGCTGCTCTTTAAAAATTGTGACTTAAATCGAGTTGATTAAATCAAGCCTTTTTACTAGTGATTTAAATTATGATTTAAATCATGATTTAAATTGACTTGATTTAAATCAAATCCATCCTGGTCTCAAGCCAGATTTTACAATTCTATTGATACTATCACTATAATATATATTTTTTGGCATGAGGAAAATTCTGTGGAAAAATAATAAAATAGATTATTGAGATAAACATTGACCTAAAATTTTGAATTCATTGATTTTTTTAAACAAGGAGTAAAGAGAAAAAGGAGTAAAGTACTTCTACCAAAACAAACACTGATGTTTTGTTAATCTAATGAAATTACATTACAGATATGTTGGAAGAATTGTCCAGCTGGGTTCAGTTTCAAGTGGGGAAAAAGACACTGGATTCATGGAAGTTGCTTGGAAAGGTTTATTGATGATTCACAGGACCACATACCATATTTCTGGAAGTATAAGACGCACCTCCCCCCCCTTAAGAGCATGGAAATGTTGGTGCATCTTATACACTGAATACAGCCATTTTTTGCCTCCCAAAGCCCCGCCCCCACATCCCAGTTTTGTGAAAAATGGGCAAAAAATGGGCCATTTTTAGCAAAAACTGAGGTATTTTTGCCTTTTGTTTTTTGCAAAAACGCCTCTATTTTTGTGGAAAATGGTCTGTTTTCCTTCTGCTTTTTGCTAAAACAGGGGCGTTTTTGCCCTTCCCCAGCCCCGCTGAAACCTGCAGAGTGCTCCTGGAGGCTGGGAAAGACAAAACCTTTTTTTTCTTACTTACCTCTTCAAAATCTTGGTGCGTCTTATACACCAGTGCGTCTTATAATCTGAAAAATACGATAGTTTGAGGTCCAGGGGGGGGCAGAGATGCTGGGAGCACCCTGGTTTTATGCCCTTTCTGGGCTTTATGCCCACTGAGCTTGTATTCTGACTCCCATGAGGCCATGCAGGGGCAACTCTGTAGGCTGTTCTGAGTACCAGGCTTGGTTGAACCTTTGCTGGATGATGATGTAATGAAAGGGCTTTGGGATTCCTATTATGGCTCTGTCTGAAGGATCTTTGTTATGTAGAGTAGACTAGCTCAGGCCTTAATGGCCCATTGACAAAGGTGAAAGGGCTGAATTTTTAGGGGAACTATTCTGTCCTTTTAATATTTCCTAAAATATTTATTTTTCTAGGAGAGGAGTGGGTGCTAACTTCCTACAGATATATAACTAAGATATGTGTCTTGAAAAATTTTTCCTCACTTGTCAAAAAGTGTTCTATAGTGTATTTCTTTTAAAAATGTATTATATTAGCAATAGCAATAGTTAGACTTATATACCGCTTCATAGGGCTTTCAGCCCTCTCTAAGCGGTTTACAGAGTCAGCATATTGCCCCCAACAACAATCCGNGCCGGTCAGGATCGAACTCCTGGCAGTGGGCAGAAGTAGCCTGCAGTACCGCACTCTAACACCTGCGCCACCATAGCTCATAATTGGGCTCCCTAACTACCGAAAAGCTGGCTGTCCTCTTAGCTCACAGCCCAGCTACTCCTCCGCCACGGCTCAAAATCACAACGGCACTGAAAAAGAATGACTTATAACCGGGGTTTTTTCAGAGTTACAAGTATCCCCAGGTGACCTAAATCCCGACTCCTGGCATCTGGTTCTTACTTATGACCGCGGCTGTGTCCCGGGGTGGTGGTGGGTGGTCACATGATCCCTTTTTGCTAAGGGTCAGGCCTGCCGCCATCTTTTCTTTCGGGCTTTTGGCCTGCCACATTTTCTACGATTCTACTATGCCTTTTCTAGGGTGGGAAAATGGGATTGTACGGAGTTCGACGACATGCAGCCATAACAACATTCTTTCTAGAAAGCCAAGGTCATCCTTTTGTCTTTCCAACTCTGCACCTGACCGGAACTGGATGGGTGGAAGCTGCCAGCATGGCAGTGGAAGATTGGACCATGGGATGGACTTGTGGGTGGGGGAGGGGGAGGATCTTGAACTTTCAACTGGGTGGGGAAAACCAGATTCGGGTTTTCCCAAATGTGTCACCGTGGCTCTCTTAAAAAAACTGGAACTTTGAGGAATCCTTTGCCTCGGACTCTGATTTAATTTTGGATGCTATTTGGAACCCTGACACTAAGTCAAGGGGGAAGGCAGATTCACTTAACAACGGGGTGGCTAACTCAACAACGGTGGTGATTCAGTGGGTAGCCTTGGGCAGCCAGTTTGAGGGTTTCCTGCTCATAAAAAGACCCACAAATGGGGGTGTGTCTTCCCTCCGCCTTACCCAATAGCGATCATGTCACTGTCGCAGGAGTCCCCGGGGCTGAGGTGAAGGAGGGAGGTGACGTCGCTTGGAGGCATGGAGGTACCGACGTTCCACGTGACCACCGTGATCCTGTGGGGAAATGAAAAAACAACAACAACAACAACCACGTTACCCCGACGTTTGTTAAACCTGGTGTGGGGTCTTTGACAACCTGCCACCACCAACTCCCGCTCTCCTGCTGGAGCAGGGGGTTGGACTGGATGACCTCCAAGGTCCCTTCCAACTCTCCTGTTATTCTGCCAATGCGCCACATCCAACTCACTGCAAGTGACACTCACGGTGGGATGGAATTGTTAAAGAAAGGACGCTAAAGGCGGGACAGGATATACATGGAAATGACAAAAAGTTATTTTAAATGTTGAAACCGAATTCTTGAATGGTCCTACAGTTGACCTGGAGAGCTGCCAGGCCGAGATCTGCAGACCTTGGCAAGGAGTCTCGGAGGGTCAGGAACCAATGAAGCGAACTAATTGTCTCCTGCAAACTCCACTCCCCTGTCGCTCCTCTTTTATTCCCTCTGGGAGGGGCCATTCACCATCCGTCTGTGGCTTTCCTCCCAAGTCAGACCCTGTTCTTTAGCTCTTCCCTTCGTCTGGCAACTCTGCGCATGCGCACACTGGGAACAGGCTCCAGCTGCTCTTCTGCCTCACTGATATCTGACTCTGAAGGCAGCTGATAACTGTCGGACGGCCCTGTCCCCCTCTCTGCCTCCGACACAGAGCCCTCCTCAGAACCTTCCCCAGACTCCAGGACTGGCCCAGGTTCCTCCCCAACCCTCCTCACTGTCTGAATCGGCTGCCAGCTTCACTGGTGGGCCACAAGAGTTGCGTAACGCCCTTGGCTCAACCATGGCTGGCTAATCGGTGGTCCAGGATGCAGGGAGGACCCCATCCTCCTCTCTCCCCCAATTCTGCATCCCAGCGGCAATTCAGGAAGGCACACGCCTGGCCTTCGCTGCCTCTAAACCCTCTCGGGATACCTCTCTCCTCTCTCTCTCTCTCTCTCTCTCCTCTCTTCTCTCTCTCTTTTTCTCTCTCGCTCTCTCTTTCTCTTTCTCTCTCTCCCTCTCTCTCTCACTCTTTCTCTCTCTTTCTCTCTTTCTCTTTCTCTCTTTCTCTCTCTTTCTCTCTCTTTCTCTCTCTCTCTCTTTCTCTCTCTCTCTCTTTCTCTCTCTTTCTCTCTCTCTCTCTTTCTCTCTCTCTCTCTTTCTCTCTCTTTCTCTCTCTCTCTCTTTCTCTCTCTCTCTCTTT